ATTTACAATCACTTGGAAGTGAGCTTTTTTAAAATCACTTATGGACGGGAGTGTATTCCTTCTCGTCATCCGAGACTCTCGGGGATTTCTTTCCGCGTTCGGATTAAAGGAAAAGCATACCTCCCGTTGAGCGCATGTGTGTGTCGCGAAACGGTGGAATTTTGTTAGAACGTGGAAAGAGTATAGCAATCTCGGGAAAAGGTTCGCGTTGAGACGAACAAATAGACTATGCTAGGTTGGGTTCGACTCTTACGCTACTAGCAGTCGGCTATAACGAGTTTTTACGCGTTGGGACTGCGTACACAATACGATTCGAATTTCCCATATAAACGAATTTACTAAGGAAGCATGCTAGTCATTTTTAAATCATTTTTTTTTTACAAAGATCTCAGTTAACGTAGAAATATCTAAAAGGTATCTGCAAATGTCTCTGAGTTATCTGAAAAATACCTATCTAGATGAATTTTCTGTGATTCGCCCGGTCTATTTCAATATCTCGAAGTTTAATGCAGGATTTGGAATGCCACTTAATAAATTGAAATTAAGATAGTTGTTGCTTAATCATTAGCATTGAAAATTGTTCGAACTTTCGTACGAAATTAATGTATTAGGTACCAAAAAATGTGCGTGCATTACCCTAAGTCAATCTATCATCCCATTTTTAAGATATCGTCATACATTGAATGTGAGGGAAAAGCAAGGAGAATTGAAAGGTAACGAGTTCGGTACGAATAATAGTGAAATTGGTGGTCATTTATTGATAAGGATATGGACGAGACAGCTTGAGTAAGTGAAAAATGTTTGAGTGTATGCCAGTTCGATAATTCAACAGTTCTAAGAGTTTGCTTTGTTGTTAGCGGTTGCCAGACAGCGATCGTAACTTTTACGATCAGGAGCAGGCGGCAACGGGCAAATTCGCTTTATGCAAAATGGCATCTCGCGTCAGTCCAGTGGCTTCCGTTTTCCAACTTTTTAATGGAAAAAAGAGCTCGCGAGTTTATGAGTCAAAAACGCGGTTTGCATGCTGACAAGCGGAAAAACAATTAGCGCGGGGGCCTAGCCTGAGATGGAACGTAAAGGAATTGGACATTTCGTTTGAGTACTCGTTCGGATTTCTGAACCGTCGTTATGTCACTTTTTAGGGTTTCAATTTTTGTATGCATTTATAGAAAAATTGATTATGTAAAAAAAATACAAATGCTCATAGTGAACAAAAGTGCGTAAAATATCAACAGCAAATGCATAGCATAGCAACAGCATGTCTATAGGATTAAAGAACATTCTTACTGAATACAGTTTTTTAAATTAATACCCTACAAGTTTTATTTTGCATAAAAATTCGTAGTTTAATAATAATTATTCTATTATACTACAATATTTCTACCCTAATTTTATTCGCAGCCAAAATATAATGTATTATACACTGATTAGCATACATTTTTATTGTAATTATATTTACAATAAGAGTGGAATAAAAATAGGTTCTCAAATCGCAAAGGGAATCAGAAATATTAAAGTGAAAATAATTTTACAACTATACAAGTTGAGAAACAATTTATTGATACTATTTATTTATTAAAATAGCAGAATCTATTTTTAAATTCACGTAGAAATAGAAAATATTTCGATATTTTTCGAGATTTTGAAAAAAAAAACATTTTTTATTTTTCCGAGATTTTACCCCTTGAGATTTTGCAAAATGTTCATTTTTCCTCAATAACTCCTTAACATTGCAGATCCACTTATTAACAGTCTAAATTAACTAACACGAAAAAACTTACTGAATCCTTATGCAGGATATCACAATAACTTCATAGCATTTAAAACTATAAAACGCGTTCCGAGAGACGAACCTAACGTACTTTAGTTGCATACTAGATACAAACCATGAAGAGATAGCAGAGATGCGCGGAGATTAAATCCATTCGAAACTATCGTTGAGAGAAGGTCGTTAAGGCAAATCGAATTTCCTAGCGGCGCGCTAACACTAACAGGTGATAGGTCGATTACCGATGCACCCTTTTAGTTTCACTTCTCCCGTTAGCGAGCGCCCCCTCCCTTCACCCTAATATTGTCAGACTGGAAATGAGGAGGAAAATCGCATCCTCCCGAAGATTGAAAAGTAAAATGAGGAGAAGGCCTCGCCAAGGTGAGAGCCAGGTTTAAGGGTGTCGTTCCCTCCGGAGTAACACCTCGGAGAAAGTTCGTCCCTCGTGGATAAGAGAGGAGGTAGCGGCGTTAAACTGAAGAAAGAGGCTAGGTGTCAGCCGAGTGGATGGAGTATCAACGAGAGGGCAAGCTGGGGTACACTCCTGTCCATAAAGAAGAATTTATAGGCTCGCTTCGATCAAACTGAACCGTTCGAAGTGACGTCCGGGTTCTTCGATTTACGTTTCGTTTCCTAGTTTATTGGATCGACCTGATCAAATTGGATTCGTTCCTAAACAGGATTCGTCTTGATTTATTATTATTAGTAAACAGAGAGTACTCTTTTAAGTCTGAATCATAACAATTTTAATATGTCAATTTATCATGGAAATCTCTAATTATCGATTTAATTAATTTTAATTTACAATCACTTGGAAGTGAGCTTTTTTAAAATCACTTATGGACGGGAGTGTATTCCTTCTCGTCATCCGAGACTCTCGGGGATTTCTTTCCGCGTTCGGATTAAAGGAAAAGCATACCTCCCGTTGAGCGCATGTGTGTGTCGCGAAACGGTGGAATTTTGTTAGAACGTGGAAAGAGTATAGCAATCTCGGGAAAAGGTTCGCGTTGAGACGAACAAATAGACTATGCTAGGTTGGGTTCGACTCTTACGCTACTAGCAGTCGGCTATAACGAGTTTTTACGCGTTGGGACTGCGTACACAATACGATTCGAATTTCCCATATAAACGAATTTACTAAGGAAGCATGCTAGTCATTTTTAAATCATTTTTTTTTTACAAAGATCTCAGTTAACGTAGAAATATCTAAAAGGTATCTGCAAATGTCTCTGAGTTATCTGAAAAATACCTATCTAGATGAATTTTCTGTGATTCGCCCGGTCTATTTCAATATCTCGAAGTTTAATGCAGGATTTGGAATGCCACTTAATAAATTGAAATTAAGATAGTTGTTGCTTAATCATTAGCATTGAAAATTGTTCGAACTTTCGTACGAAATTAATGTATTAGGTACCAAAAAATGTGCGTGCATTACCCTAAGTCAATCTATCATCCCATTTTTAAGATATCGTCATACATTGAATGTGAGGGAAAAGCAAGGAGAATTGAAAGGTAACGAGTTCGGTACGAATAATAGTGAAATTGGTGGTCATTTATTGATAAGGATATGGACGAGACAGCTTGAGTAAGTGAAAAATGTTTGAGTGTATGCCAGTTCGATAATTCAACAGTTCTAAGAGTTTGCTTTGTTGTTAGCGGTTGCCAGACAGCGATCGTAACTTTTACGATCAGGAGCAGGCGGCAACGGGCAAATTCGCTTTATGCAAAATGGCATCTCGCGTCAGTCCAGTGGCTTCCGTTTTCCAACTTTTTAATGGAAAAAAGAGCTCGCGAGTTTATGAGTCAAAAACGCGGTTTGCATGCTGACAAGCGGAAAAACAATTAGCGCGGGGGCCTAGCCTGAGATGGAACGTAAAGGAATTGGACATTTCGTTTGAGTACTCGTTCGGATTTCTGAACCGTCGTTATGTCACTTTTTAGGGTTTCAATTTTTGTATGCATTTATAGAAAAATTGATTATGTAAAAAAAATACAAATGCTCATAGTGAACAAAAGTGCGTAAAATATCAACAGCAAATGCATAGCATAGCAACAGCATGTCTATAGGATTAAAGAACATTCTTACTGAATACAGTTTTTTAAATTAATACCCTACAAGTTTTATTTTGCATAAAAATTCGTAGTTTAATAATAATTATTCTATTATACTACAATATTTCTACCCTAATTTTATTCGCAGCCAAAATATAATGTATTATACACTGATTAGCATACATTTTTATTGTAATTATATTTACAATAAGAGTGGAATAAAAATAGGTTCTCAAATCGCAAAGGGAATC